GTACAAACAAAGTCTCGTGTCATTAGACCATGAGAAGAAATAAAGATTTATAAAATGTTCATAGTCTTTATTGGTATGAGACCTTTTAAGGTGACCAAAAGTAAAACCATAAGGGTGTAGGCTCAAAGTGGACAATATCATAGCAATGTGAAGATATGTATGTGTAAATTATGGGTGCCCAACAGTGGTATCAAAGTCGATGGTTTCGACCAGGTGACCGACTTAAGTCTCGAGCGAGTATTTGGCAATGGGATGTGGATCTTTTGTATCAAAAGTCTTCCTGACAGTGTGGTGGTCGACAACTTGTCTCGTTGATATGAGCAACAATGCAAGTATTTAGAGTTGTTAGGTGTGGCTAAAGCCCTAAGGGCTACCATAAAATACTCGTACATGAAAAAATGATTTTCGCTGAAGGGAGGTTTGTTGGATACAAATAAAGTCTCACATCATTAGATCATGAGGAGAAATAAAGGTTTATAAAGCACACATAGTCTCCAATAGTATGAGACCTTTTAGGAGATGACCAAAAGTAAAACCATGAGGATTTACGCCCAAAGTGGACAATAAAATACCAATGTGAAAACATGTGTATGTATGTGTGGACCCCAAGTACTCAATACTTGATATAAAGATCTCTAACATGTCATTAGCTCCCTGCCCAATAAACTTAGGGGTGTCATCTTCTATCTACCTTTTCACCAATGAATAAAAAATAATCATTTGTAATGGTTTAACACATGTTTTTGCTAATTATTGTCTTAAGAGCAAATAGTATAAAAATTAATAAATAATTTTTTTTCATAAGAATGTGATATTGATACAAGCTTAACATTATTTTTTAATGAAGAAAAAATATTTATTAAATTTTTTCAATGATGTGCTAGGATTTACGTACAAAATTGAAAGAGTTGAATGTGGTGGTTTAGAGAATCAAAGTTAACATTCTAAAAAGGATAATTATTAAGAGAACCTTTTAGTTATAATAATGATTAAGAAATTAGTTTGATAATATTGGTAAAAAAAACAATATGGATCAAAAAACAAAAACAAAGGTTTAGGTTTTGTTGACCATGCTTGATTGTCTTAGATTCAACTAAGCAATTTATATCAAGTTTGTTTAGTATTGAACAAAACTTCATGGGATGGTTTATGAAGTAATTGTGATTAATTTGGTTCTTTGAAGATCATACATGGATATTTGATCATGTTTGATCTTCTTAAATATCCAATAATACATTTTGTAACGACCCGCCGTAGGCCGTCACATCAATAACTAATATGACAACTAAAATAAAATAATATATAATAAAGAAAATAGAGCAAAGGTCAGCTACACTAAAGTGTAAATATACAATAACGTATAAAATTTTTTCATCATCTAAAACATAATTTTATAAAAGAGTCATCCTCAGCAAGGTTATATAGTAATCCAAAAAGATAATGAATATACAACGTCATGAAGACATCAAAATAAGACATCCTAGGTGCTGGTCAAGCTCTAAGCCTAGCCACTTCTCAAAGCAGCTACCAAAAGACTCCTTGTTATCCCAAAGCCTCACACCTAATCTGCTCCCCACATAATGAGATCATCACAGTCCACATCATGGAAATATAAGGGTTAACACGTATAAAACCAACCATAGTACAACATAATGAAATATCATTAAACTAGATATTCA